ATTTATTTTAATTTATTAAGGAAACATTTGGCTGGGTGTGACCAAATAAATATTGTGTCTAAACCAACACAAATATAGTTTGCACAAGGCTATAAACCTGTCTCAGAGCTCTAATGATATTGCAAGTCAATGAAGCTTCAGTGTTCTCATTAACGTGATTCCATCAGACCTCTATGTTGCATATTATTAATTTTTAACAATAGATTGTAATATAATTTATAGCACTGCGAGGCAACAAAGGCTGGATCCTGATAGTAATCCAACCTTTTAGGTTGATAATGGCTTTAACACTGACCTAATTTTGAAAGGTGAACGTGTTCAGAGGGCACCATACCTAATTATAAATAGGACAACAGGGATAAAACACATCACTAGTCTGCATCAGTGAAGACAAAATTCTCCTTGATAGCAAAGGGCACAGATCTTGTCATAAGATTATAAAGAGTTTTGCTGCTAAATTTGACACAAAAAAGTAATTGAAAGCTTTGTTTTAAAGAAATACATAATACATTAACACATTTTCTCACCTCTTGAAGTTTAATTTTTGTTACAAAAGGAATAAAATACAGAACAGCTAATGTTAATCTGGGTACCTATAATTTAACTCAATTTGGAAGTCGGAACAAGCGTACATTTATGAAGAAAAAGCAAGCCTTCAAAATCTCAGTGGAAATATGCTAAATGGATGACATTAGTAGCCTTGCATTGTTCCTCTCCATGGCTTGCTGATGCATGAGAGTGAACACGACCAGTTTCTGCTATGGACAGCAGCTCCCAGAGCCTCAGCAGCTCACTGAGCACTCAGAGCCTCGGGATCCAATCTCCAGGCAGGAGGGACACAGCCATGAACGTGTTTAACCCAAGCAGCAGTAACTTCTCGTGGGAGGCAGCACAAAACCATTTCCTGGTTTAAAAGGCGTTCTCATCATCAAAATATGCATTAGTATTGCTTATACATATTTTCTAACTCAGCCTTTTGTGCCGTATCTAGAAATACAGTACAGCGGTAATAATGTAATTAGTATTTTCACTAGCTAAATTACAGAGCTGGCTGCAGAATAAAGCATAGTAGCATCAATATTATCAGTTAAGTATTATACAAAAAATAACATCAATCGTTTTAGTATAGTCACAAGATACAGTAATTTCCTTTCTCTGTGGTCCCTTTAAATCGTGCCAAATGAGGAAATTCACAAAATCCACTGACTCTTAGTTCAACTCCAATTCTAAATATCAGCATTTCCAAGATTTCCTAGGTAAATTTTTGTAGGTTCTTGAACAATATTTCTTTCTAAATATGGTATTAGTTATAAAGAACTGAAGTTCTGCTGCATCAATCTCTCACATGAATTTAATTTTCCCAGCACTTCTGCAAGTTAACAAAGGAGTAGAACAGATACTTCACAGATGAAGATGATGAATCACAGGGATTTGTAATAATTATTCAAGACCATAAAAGCAATCCTATGTCAATGTGAGAAGTGGAATCACTGGCTTTGTAATCCAGTCTTACTTCATATTTCCTTCCTCCCCGGTCACAAAGGGAGATCTAAAATTCCAACAACTAAGATACTGGAAACCAAGCAGTCATTAAGGAAGAAATTGAGGCAAGCATTCTTTCACAGATTCCTCACATGGTGAGACAATTGTCTGCCACCTCTACATACCCAGAAATCAGAGGACTCCAATTTATAACAAAGTTGAAAGTATCCCATGGCATTTTCCATGCTTAAAACTCCTCTTCAGCCAGGCTAATTCACAACCCCCTAGACCAAATCAAGAACACTTGAAGATCTACTCACACTCCATCCACTTCCTAATTACAGTAACTTTATGCTTTACTTCACAAAATGAGATTAATTTCCTCCACCAGTTCCATTCAATTCCTTCAACATTTTGTTCGTTTGTTTGTTAAGATGCAGCTCTCTAGCAGCTTGATCACTTCAGATGAGACAAAGCAATCCCTTGGTAAATCCCTCTGGACATGCAGAACATATTATATGCACAAGAGTTGAACTCCTTGAATTTCCCCTTTTCAGATCCTCTAGGTTTCCAGTCATTCAGATAAAGAAAGGAGCTTTTGTAGGCCAGTTAATCCATCTACTGAATGAAATATAGTAAAAGTTCTACACATCCACATGTTCTGTCAAGGCCCTGGTTTACATCTGTAGATGTAATAATAACTGTACTAATGCAGAAAATCATGGCTCAGGCCCCCAGAGAAGATCTTTAGAGACTTGAGTAGAAAAGTCCCAGTGCTGCAGTCAAAGGAACAGGCAAAATTATTTTAAGTGCTTACATTTATTTCTGCCAAAGCAGTGGCTTAATTTTCTTTGTGTGTCTTAATAAGCCACCTCCATGAGAGGGACTCTGACTTGAAATGCCTGTATGTCCTAAGCTGTGAAGTAGGCACCATTGAGTGGCAAGCTGAGACAAACATCCAAAAGCAGTGTAAAGGCCAAGCTGCAAAATGAGCCTGTTGTTCATCTTCTCTAGCACCAGAGTCACACACTCACATGAAAACAGCATTTGAACGAATTAAAATGCAAATCTACATTTTATTATATGAAATTGAGACAAATGATACACACTTGAAGCCTGCCAGAGTAGCTATTACAAACATTAATATAGTTTTAGATGATGACTTAAACCAAATGAGAGGATGGAATAGAAACACTGGAGAAACACCTTGTGAAACACTATAGGAAAAATGCAACTCTTGCCATAGTTACATTAGTAAAATAAAAATTAGCAGTAATTCTGCTGTAATGGGCTAGATCTGTCTTGTGTAGACATGTACCTCCAGGGAAGCCTCCAGCCACAAGATGTTTGTGCAAGGCAGAGAAGCAGCCTGCCAGCAAAGAACAAGTATGGGGGTCTCAAACTACGTGGGAGAGGACTTTGCACTGCCACAGCCTAATGGGATGTGGCATCGTCCAAGAATCCTACAACAAGAGGCCAAACAGCCACTGGCCTAGGCCAGAGCTGCCCAGAGGATGTAAAGATGTATTTATGCTAGGTCTGATTTAGATTGTGCTCTACACAATCAGATCGCTTTGAAGGTTTGCCTTGTGCAATCATTTCCTTTGTCAGGAATCAGAAAAAGACTGTGAAAAGACTGTGAACAAATTGTTTAGGCATTGAAATTTAACCCTGTGGAATCCTTACAGTGTAGCACAGTGTGACACAGCAGGAGCACATTTGTCAGGGGACTGAAGCCTCTTTGCTCTCTCTGCACAAAACATATACATTAGCATTGTGTGGGGTGGGGGTGCTCCCGAGCACACGAGGCAGCAATGGGGACACACAGCTCCACGCCTCTGCTGCCTCCCTTCTGCACGCAGCCCTCTGCACCACTTCTGCTCTCTTAGGGAAAACAGAGGCTTCAGAACCTTCAAGACTGCCTTGAAGCCCTTCCATTGCATTTTGTTTCAGAGATTGTACGAGATTTGATTTTAAATATCTGTAATGCACGTGAGAAAATTATTGAGTATTACTCTTAACAATGATCTTGTTAAGAGTCTCAAAGTTTTTCCACTAGCCTTAATAGTGCCAGAATATCCTAGCATTAATGTCAGAATTTAAACACTAAAACGAAAAAGGCATTTGGTAGAAGGTAGTCAATTCCAAGGCTTTTCACTTAGCTGTGGGCTAAGGAAAGAACCCTTTCTGGTGAGGATCCTATACCAACATTCAAAACAGTTCCTGTCTCAGTCTCCATACAGGAAGGTACTGTACATCCCCTGCTCCTCCGAAAAGCAGTCTGAGAGCACCAAGTACCTCACAGCAGGAGCACAGCCCTCTGCAGAAATAAATTTTAACACAAGATAGCCCACCAACGTTTCTGTGAACAGTTGAAAAATATGCTGACAAGAATAAAAACATAGTCATTTGGTATTTGGCAAAGAAAAGCCACTCTAAATAATTTCCAACTGCAATCAATGTTTGCTTCTGCTTTACAAGTAATAGATTAGACTATCGTTTTTTTATAAACCCATTCAGCCATATGTTTAAGAAAGTAGGTAAGTTTCTCTCCAGTAGAGGTTTCCAAATAGTCTTTCCTTGTAGCTGTCAGTATTTCAATGTCCCATTCCAGAAACACTGTTTAGTAGTGTTTGGGAAAAATGAAAAAAAAACCAAAAAACAACACACCACCCCCCCTAAACTGCTGCAAATGCAAAAATAGGAAAAGAAAAAGTGTTAGAATAAAAAATGGCAAATGACAGTTACATAGGATAAATCCTAAGCCACCTTAGTTCCATCAGTCCAATCAGTGCGACCTAAGTGTCCTCAGATTTCCTCTGAATGTGCTCAGAACTTTGCTAACAGTGTTCCTGCAGCCAAGCAAATCTCCTCTCTTCTGAGCTACACAAATGTGCTGCTGACCCCTGCAGAACCAAAGCTCCCAAGATCCTTCCCTTTGCATCCATGGAAGTTCTGAGTTCATTCTGTCCTTCTCAAGAGAACAATAATGCACAGGACAAACAGTGTATTGCTCCTTTCCTCCACAGCAAATCCTGCCTTAATTAGGAGGACTTTTGCAGGAGATGTATTATCTACCAGTCCAGAATCACCTCACTATCATATCATGCAGAATTCTGCCCGTGTATCATCTTCAGATATGATTATTTCTTTATTTAGCTGCTACTAACATGTTTGGAGATGTAAAAACCACAACACTTTACTTCCTCAAAGGCAGCAGTAGGAGATATCTCAGTGCAGAAAGAATTCCATAATTACAAAAAGCACAGAAGCCAGCTTTTTTCCCCTCATCCAGCTTAAGAAGCTTTAAACAATATGCAAAGGCAAAAGGGGGAAATGGTAATAGTACTGAGAAGGCTAAAATTTGAATGAGATAACAAACCTTTATTGTGGAAGGAAAAGGAAATTACTGATTCTAAAAAAGCTTCTGCGATAAATCATCACCTCTGCATGAAATTCCATTCAGATATGTGGAAATATCTGGTAGTAACATTAAAGAAAAAAAAAGGAACAAAAACTTAGCAACAAACAAGTTTATAAAGAACAAAATATAGCTTAATAGAATTGCTGAGCTTTTTCAGTAGTTCAAAGAATAGGAGATTTGAAAATCAAGCAAGGTTTTCAACAGCTGTATTTGTATTACAGTCATAAAGGCATAAATGTGAAATGCAGCTCTAATAAAACACTGAAGTTTATAAAACTGGTTGGTAATTTTCCACCCTTTCCAGAAGTATCTCAGAATATCCAGGGGAATAATACCTGAAAGAGAAACATTTTGTTTGTGTGTTAGACTACAAGGCATGTTCTATGCAAAATAATGAAACTATGCATATTTCTACTAATCAGGAAGAAATTCTAGAATTAAACACTGGTCAAGGAATTCTACAGTTACTCCTCTACAATGTTTTATCAACCTGCTTTTCAACTTACATTATCATTTATACTTAGAAGTTAAGTTTTTAAAAATATAAGTTAGCCTCTTTTAGAGCATGTAGGTAAGTGGCTACATTTTAGATAGGTTCAGCTTCAGCTGCCATAAGCATTGTCTTTACTAAGAAGTGTAGGTGTTGGCTTCTTTTGAGATTATGGCCTTTAATAAAAAAGCACGAGTTTACACAGAACTGTCTGCTGCTGTTTGTCAGACATAAGCACACACTCTGAAACTCACATGAAGTCTACATCCATGAGAGGGACACTGGTCCTGGGACTAAAAAAATTGTCACAGTAGCCTTCTCTCTCTAATGCCTCTCAAGGATGGACATTATCCAGTAGGTTTTCATTAGAGTAGGACTCTATGGTGCCATTATGGTCCTGCTGTCATTCAACTGGTTTTCCACAATGGACCAACTACATGCATCCAGTATGCAAGCATCAAAGCTGCATTTAGTTCTTGTTTTCCAGGTTAAGAGTATCTGAAATTTAACACTGTATTATTCTAAAAACATACAACTCAGTATATTTCTGGTTTTGCAGGCATGTGAATTGCCACCTCTGAGCCCTGAAAGCTTCAACTATAAAGAGAGAGAGGAACATACCTCCATGTAATGTAGACCTAAAATATACTAAAAAAAAAAAAAAAAAAAACCACAAGAAAAACAACGAATTTGACCTTTCAATTAGCTTCAAATTGGACCCTAAAATAAACTAAAAAAAAAAAAAAAATCCCCAATGCTTTCCCTTAAAGAAAGTCTATTTACCTTGTTAATTTTCATTTTTCTGGATAATTTCTGCATAATTTAACTCTTTTTTAACCTCATATTACTTCTGTGATTTGTAAAGCTAACTTTCCAATGCATTACTGTATTCAGTCTGCAAACAGCCTAAAATAACAAGTCTCCAGGACAAACCCAGAGCTGGCTTCTATCACAGCTGCTGTGCCCCAGGCAGCAGAACCAACATCAGGCAGTAGCACAGACAGGCAAGCAGGAGATGCTTGAAGGGTGCTTTTTCTTTATTACATCCCAGGGTAGATGAGTAAACCTTTTTCATTTAGAGGGGGGAAAAAATAGCTATAACAAAGAAACATTATTAATATCCAGAAAAGCATAAACAAATTCCTCTTTCCTGCTGAAGTACTAGCTGCAGACTAAGATTTCTTTATGACTTAGCTTTTACCCATTTGACAGCCACTGGCTTTTCTTTGTGGAGACAAGCAGGGCTTCATTTTGTGAGACTTAGTTTCTAGCTACTATTAGCTGAAGAACTCTGCTGCTATAATTAAAATTGATGATGCAGATTTTCAGAGCCTGTAGAGGGAGTACATGAGTACAACATCCTTCTGATGTGTTGATGGAGTGAAGGAGTGGTAAATGGATATCTAGAATCTAGGAGGGCATTTCTCTCATTATTACAATTTAGGATGGTGACATTTTGACTGTAAGCTATTTAATAGTGTTTCTGTATTCATTAAGGGCAAAGTTCAACTTGGTGCAGACAGCTGGTGTATGGTCCTTTTATATAACACTTAAGCCTCGTGATGAGGCTCAGGGAGGAAGGGCAGCTGTGGGCAGATCAACTGTGCAGGAGAGCCTCTGGACCCTCTGTACATCAGAGGATGTTTCAAAGGAGTCTCTGAATACACTAATTCAGACACACACTACTAGGAAAGTCAAAGATGTAACCAAAGATTCACCAATACCTGCATTTTGGAGACTAAGTAATGCACAAATAAGTTTCCAAAATAAATTTCCCACAGACATTCATAAATATGAATAGTTGTATTGAAGACTCAGAGTTCATGTGGGCAGTGCAGGACTGACTTTTCATCACACTTTCCTGCAAGAACTTGGTTATTTGGGCTTTGTTGACAGACAAAGAAATTTAATTCCAAATACAAAAAGAGAAAGCGTTCTAATGTATGCATCCAGAGGTTGTGTTACTGCTGGGTCAATTAACCAAAAGTTACACTTTGGTTTTATTAAAACCAAAATTCACATAGGAGTTAAATTACTATTTTAAATCCTTCCTTTGTGTTGTTCCTATGAAAAACATCTAACAGTGTTAGAAGTATGAATTTTTTAAATTTCATTATCCCTACCTTACTATTTCCTCTGGATAGCAATTGTTAATAGTGTTGATATATTCCTGAAGAAGTGACCCAGGTTCTGCTTTTATTTCTTGAACCTTTTTAAGTCCACCACTTGTTACGAAGAGACGACGTGCTTTACTGTCATGTGGTAACACCTACACACGGAATAGCACATTTAAAAATTTTATTTTTAATTAATCTGTATATCACTAGGCTTAAATATTGCTTATTTGTTTTTAATTCAGAGGACATATAAATTGGAAAATCAGAGAAACAACATCTGTAATGACTACTGTATTATAACACCCAGTTGTATAGGGATAAAAACCATAAACCAGCCCTTTATGATTACAATATAATTTATCATACTTTAATACATAACATATAAAAATAATGAATTTAATATTTATCCTTACATAAATAATATTTCTTGAATTATTCCTACAGAGACAATAATATTGTGGAGAATAAATAGATAATAAAAACAGAACACTAACATGGAATAACAACAGCATCTGTTCCACTTAAACCAAGTTATTCAGGTCTTTTATGTCAATTCCCACAGTTTAATTGTAGAGCTGAATTTTATATCATTATAATGATCTAGTATAGATTAGTGCATGAAAACAATGCTGAGAATTGTTGCAAGTGAACAATACAGCCTTGAAGCATTACACGCTACTATTAAATTCCTAGATATTAAAATCCTTTAACACACTGTGTAGCCATGGAAGCCTTTTACAAACACACACAAAGCAAAAACGTGAAGTTTCTGCAGCCAAAGGGGATGAGAAGCAGAAATGATCAGACAATAACATTCTGTGCTCCCTGAGTGATGCCAATACGCAGCTCTGTCCAGAGGACGGCAGGGAGGGAGGAATGAAGGGAGGGAGGTGGGGGCTGGGCCAGGCGAGGAAGAATGACAGCATGTAGTCCATAGGCCCATAGGGCTGCAATATTATTAAAAAAAAAAAAAATAGAGAGAGAAAAAGACAGAAAGATAATGCAAGATGTCAGCTGCATCTACAGCAAAACCAGATGCGTTTAAAACCAACTCTGAGAGTTACAGATGAAGAGGGCAAAAGCATTTTGTAAGCTTCCACACTGGTCAGACATTAAGCCATAAATTTGACTGTGTAAAATTTCAGTGTAAAACAAGAGCCTCAAAAAAGGATGAAGAAAAAGAACAAGATTTCTTCCATGCATACATGCAAACAACCTTCATTTCTGTGGTTCCTCTAGGCTGTACAAAATCAACATACAGGTAAAGAAAAAGCAGGAGAACACAGAGTTATACAGTCTATTATATGTTCAACTCAAGTGTCAGGAACAACTGTGATTTTTTCGTTGTGGGAACTGAACAGACGTCTGTTTTCACATATCTCCCACATCAAGAACTGCCAAGGAGGAACTAGCAAGGAGACAGGATATGGCCCTTTCCCTGCCTTCCTCCTCCACACTGTGACTTCCAGGCTGGATAAAACAGCAGAAAACTCTCTTGGAAGGGGTCCTAAAGAGAGAGAGACTCTTCCCCCAGTCCAACCTGAGACAGCACAGAATTGCACAAACCCTGAAAACACTAACACTAAAATGCACAGTCCAGCATGAAAAACAAATAGCACCCCATTTTGAAGCACAGCTTGGAAATAAGGCTTTTATTGTGCCATAAATAAGCCCAAAGAAGTAACAGACCACAGCTCTAAGAATAGGAAATTCCCAAGCTATGGTACAGGAGAGAAAAATGCTTTTACTACAGACAACTTAAAGAGTATACTTCAGAAGAGCAAATGCCAGACAAGTACAGTTTAATAATGTATAGGCAAAGAAGAAAAATGAAACAAAACAAAATATCAGCTGATATGAAGGGCACAAAACCATTTCAATAGCAAGCAATATTCAAATATACACTGGATAACCAATTGCTATGCTCATTAATAGCTCCAGCCAGAATGGAGAAGCAAAAAGGAGTGGATTCTATGCAAATCTCCAGTGTTTGAACAGCCTTAGCAAGAAGACAGGACAAATTAAAGTGTGGCAACATAATCAGGAATCTGCACTACCAACAGCAGTGCTTCCAGATCTGTCATAATCAGAACTGAGTATCAAGAGTGTTTTACTTGGCCATTTCCAGAAAGAACATCCCATCAACAGAGCTTGGTATACCCTGCTAACAGGTTACACTGCAGAGTATTGCACAAATCATAGTCTATCATCAAACAGGATTCCCAACACGAGCTGAGAGACACTCCAAGTCTCTCAGTTAGTTAGCAATTACTTACAAATTTAAAATATTTTTAATAAATTGTATCACTTTTACATGCTGCTTTCAAATCAACAATGTTTTTAACAAATAACTTTCTAAATTTTGAGAGCCATGAGAAAAGATTTGGAATTTTTACACTTATTTTAGACTGAAAATTAATCAGGATAAAAGGAGTGAAGTCTTTATATTATTGTAAAATATCTGACTTAAGTCACTCCTGTAAAGACAGCTTGTAGTTTATCTAAAACAGATGTGAAAGGGATTTATGTGATACATTGGCTCAGTAAAAATATTTGCACGCGAGTTAATATTCCACTTAATCTCAAGAGGCAAGGAAGAAAAAAACACCTTGCTTATAAGAAACTGTTTTCCCAATCTTAGGATGAATTATGGTAGATTCCAAATGAAACAGTATCCAGCTGTACAGGATCCAAACTGCATTTGAAAGGCATGCTTGAAGATCCTGAGGAAACGACACCTTTAGAGACTTCTTTGGAAAGATAGCTTCCTTGCTAAATGGGAAACAATTAGCAATGAACATATTACTCACCAAGCAGAGCCTTTTCTTACCTTACTAAACTGCCCAATAACATGCTTCATAATATTGTGAGGGGCCTCATGAAGCAGTGGTTCAAGTGCTGGAAGATATGTGCATCTCTGAAGAATGTTCTTTAAGGCTTTCTTAGTCTGTCGAAATGCAAAATAAACTTTCTCTAGTAAGATATCAATGAAAACAACAAGAATTCATATATATCACTGAAGTCTGATCAAAAAAGAAAATTGATCAAAATTTTCAATGAACAATTTCTGAATAGAAACTATGATATCTATCAGGTCACTTAATGAAGAATCAATTCTCTACTTAGATTTATTAAACCTCAAAAGCTACAGTGCATCATATTATCATTATGTTATCTATGGTCAAAGTAATGGCAATTTTCCTTTGACTATAATGAAAGCTGGAGTAGACCCTTTAGGTAAATTGAAGTACTCTAATATAATAAGAAAGTTAAATCAAAACACGTTTTAAAAGATTATATTTTAGAAGTGGCTTACTAGGAGAGGCTGCTGGTCTGGGATAGCAAAGTGCAGTACTGTCCAGGCAGGGGGGAAAAGAGAGAGTGAAACAATTGTGCATTGGTGCATATTTCTGAAAACAAACTCAATGTTGACAGATACAAGCAGTAGTGACCTTCCTGGGCAGGATTACAGGTACAGCCAATTTGGCTTCAATATATTTGGACCACTGGAAATTACTGTATAGAAGTTACTTTACAGATCTGGAATGTGGTATTTCAGTGGAATGTACAGAAGCATAGTGCAACATGGGAGATCATATCCTGTCCTATTACACTATTACTGTTACACAGAAACACACTTTACTAAACTGCAACTCTACTAGCTCCCACACAAGGAAAGGCCTTAAACATGGGCAGTTAGTTGCATGTTTTAAAGAGCAGAGCCTTGATTAGCTGCTACAGTTTTATTATAATAATAAAAATGTAGACAAAATTATTACAAGGACTATAATATTTTCTGCAAGAGCTTATACTTGCAAAAAAAAAGAAGTGGATAATTAGAAATGAGTCACAAGAAATTACAGCATTTATGGGTCTATGCACCTCTGATCTAAACTGGGAAAAAAATAAAGAGATTAGACTGTGGTGGCTGTAGCATATGATTTGGTATACAGCATATGCAGCCAGTCCCCTAATAAATGACACAGCCTTCAGACACTCTGCACCCAGGAAAGCTCAGTAAGCATCAATAAAAACACATATAATTTAGTAGTTTTTAAGCACTTAAACCTCTTGATTACAATTACTATACCACACTACAAATCTACTTGCTTTCATTTTAAGATCTTCTGAGCTGCGTGTGTCCACAAAGATATCGAGCAGTGTGGGCAGCACGTTTGCTACTGCAACATGACGTGCATGCTCAGCAGTATGTCTCCCAATCTGTCCCAAGGCCCAAGCAGCTGCTGCCTTAATATGATCTTCATGTTCTTCTATCAAGCAGTCACACAGTGGTGATATTCCCTGTAGCATTAATCAAAAGCACAACCTTTACAAATGTAGACCAGGGAATGGCAATGTGAAACAGATACAGATAGTTAGAAAATGTTTCTCTAATTACACTCTTTTAAAAAGCTGCGAGAGAATGCATGCTAGTGGTGTCATACTTTTATAGCACCATGATTTGCAAGAATTTTTAATAAATCTTAATAAATATAGTTAAAAAGAAACAGATTCAATGTTCTAAATCAGAAAGCAGTTTGAACAAACAAGAAAATTTAAGGTGTTAGAAGAATACACAATATCATTCAGGCTGTACTGAGTAAATGTGGCAGTTTTCCTCAGACTGAAAATAAAAGAATCTGAGTGCTTATGATTCTATGAAATCAGTTTAAGACTAGAAGGGCTCAGTCACTGAGTCTTTCTTTTTTACTATCCACAGCACTAAATTTCAACTTATCAACCTCTTCTTGAGTTCAGTAGTTCATATTTGACTCACCCAATCACTTCAAGAAGGGTTTCAACTCTTGATTTGCAGACATCAAGAGATGGAGATCTCACATCCAGCTGTTACTAAAGTTGCTCTGGTTCAGAGTCGTTACACTTTCTCCACAACTACTTAGCAGTTGGTATTTTATGCCAAAGCACTCCAACAGGAAACATTTAATGCTAATTTAGGTAAGGGAAGGCTACTAAACCTCTATCCCAAAAACCTTTCTCTCCATCACATGAATCCTTCTTTACTCTTTTCTGCACAGTTTTCTGCTTTGTTATTTTGGGTTTTATCCCCAAGATACTTTTCAAAGACAGACAGTGGAGCTATAGATATTACTACAACAAATAGACTAACTTCTCTTTTCCAATAATACTTCATCTTCTACTCTTTCATACCACAAAGGACTACATTGTGTGGGGTTTTGCCACTGCATTACAGCAGAAGACCAGAATGAAGTGTTTGTCTAGTATGACCCCAAAAATCATTGTTCAAAATTCATCCTTTCCAGGTTAGAGTACCATGGAATGGAACTATCATTTTACATCACAACATCATCAGTGTCTAACTGCATATGGTTATTGCCACAGTGCATTTCTTTCAAATGGTTCCAGTTTACCAATCCCTGGCCTCAGCGCTACGTACCACTCCACAAGCTTAATTTCCCCTGAAGCAGTTTTTCTTAAATGGGTTTTGGGTTTATTCAGGTTTATTATTATTTCTTTTCTAGATCATTCATTAACATATTTAATTTCATCAAAGTTTGCCCAGATCCCTACAACAGCTCTCACAGCAGTTCCATTTAGTTAAGATAGGAATCATTCTAATTTAGGGGCTTCCTCCAGAACTTAATCCTGGTTTCATCCCACTTAATGTCAAGCACTCAACAGCAGGAGCATATTTCCTCTAGGCATCCCTGCAAGTGGAAAGACACACACATCCAGAGAAGAAGGGTCTCCAGACACGTCAATAAAAAAGCATCTATTTCATTCGTTTTAAAATACAGAAGAGCATTTTTTTGATCATTCCTACTTTCCCTGCATACTGTACTATGTTGTATATAGTATATACATAAGCAACTTCCATTTTTCAACTTGCATTTCTACTAGAAGACATTTCTGTTCCTTTGTTTGTATTGTTTTGTTGCTCCACTCACAGATATGTTTTAAATGACTGACATAGTGTGAAAATGGGTCAAAAATGTTAGTGAAATTGTTTCTTTCCTTCTGTCACTAGTTAGTATTATTCACATCAGACTACAAAGCCAGGCACTAATTTCACCTATTGCAAACGTTGCAAATTCTCCCTCTTCTATATTATTGCCCAGAAGAATGTATTTAAACCAGAAAATGTATGGCTTTACTCACTTGAAATGTCACTTGCACAACTGAATCAAACTACACTACATTAGAAACTGAGGTCTTTTCAAGTCTGAAGATAGCTGTTGCAAAATACTCTATTAGTACTAGCAGAATCATGCTAGTACAACGAAGAACCATTATGCCATTAAACATAGTTGTTTCAAAGAAGGTTTTGATGCAGTCACAAATATACATTTTAAGAGGAAGCAGAAATTCAGTGACATTTTTTGTACTGATGCAATAGCAACACAGAAAAAGCATGCACTGTAATACCAACTAATCCAGGATGCTTTGTAAAAGGTTCAACACCATAAAGACATCCTTTTATCAGGTCACCATATAATTTCAGTCATAGAAAGCAGCAATACTAGGAGAAAGTGCATTCATCGAAAGCAAGTATATAATCCTGTCACAAAATACATTCTCTGCCTATGCTAATTTGTATCTGTACCTAAGAATACTGCTGAAGAACTACAGGAAGAGAACAAAGTGATAGCTGACCTTGGAGACAATCACTGCCATTGACAGGTTCTCCGAATGAGCCGCCACATAACCAAGTGTCATGATGCCAGGCAGTCTGACAGTCCCTTTGCAGCTGCCAATACAATCAATCACTGCAGCAACTCCACCTGAATTTACTATAAACTGTGAGAGCTGAAAAGATAAACACAAGACTGTGAAGTATCAACAGGCAGAAAGAACCACATCAGAGAAGCCTTTTAATGTATTGCTCCTGTTTTACAAAATAAAGCTGGAATAAGAGTGATGTATCATACAGACTGCTGGGAACTAAGTGCAGCATCAAGTTTTCAGGAGTGAGGCTAATTTGCTACTGTGTTTGATTGACTTTACTGCAAGGAAATAAGGGTTCTGAATCTTTGATGCTGTATAGCATGGAATTATATATTCTCAACTCCACCCTCACACACCAGAGAAATGTGCAAATGACAGTCTATCACATGACTGATCTTGAAGATGCACCTACTGAGCCAGATACTGCTTCATCCTAGTGCCCCCTCATTCCCAAACTAACATCCTACAGTCAGTGCAGTGACAGAGGGAAAGGCCCATTCCTCCTCTCACCTGCATTCTAAATTATCTCTGTGGCATAAAATCCTTTGTGGATCCTCAAGCATGCCAAGGCATGAAGCCAAGGACAACTGTTCTGGATGTGCAGAGCCGACTTGGGCTGCATCATTCTGCCATGTTAGCATGCTCTAAGGGAAGTGTCCAGGGAACACACTTGATGGGTGAGTCTGCCCCAGAATGCCAAATTACATATCCTTGCTTATAAATGATAATCAAGCTGTGCAACATGGGTTTCTACCAAAGGTATCTCACATCACTTGAGGGACAGCAGCAGAATATCTATTTTATCAATCATGCATAGAAATTAAAATTATTTATTATTATTATTCTTTTTTCCATGCTTTTAGGTATATCCCAGAGACTGTAAACTTTTATCACCAGCTTAAAGACTGGCAGGCTGATGAAACTGCACAACATTCATGTTTAAATACTTCTCAGTTGTTAAGTTAGTATCGTGATTTTGAAATTACTACGCTCAGCATTAGTGTGTTGCACAAATACATGGCTTACATTTCATTCCAAAATCATATTTAGAGCCTTTTAATTATCTCTGTGGTCTGGCAGATTAACTTAGTTATAATTATATGGTTTTCCTATTTATTTTGTATTGACTTTGCCAAACATCCCCATGCTCCTATGGGCAAAAACACTGTAAATGCTCAAACTCAAATTACAAACTCAAGTTACCATCAGGTTAATAATACATAAGAAAATTTTTGACCTTCACTGTCACTAGAAGAATAATTAAAATGTGATCCAAGCACCCCTGAAGATTTTTTGAAAGACACACATCATCTATTATTGTTAAAGGATGATCTTGCAATTTATTAGCTGGTATCATGACTTCTGTGAGGCTTTTCTCATAATATTTTTAATATCTAGGACTGACAGTACTGTCAGCCAAGAACTCCCTCTCTGTGCTGATATCTCACAGAATGAAGTAGCTAGGTATACATTTTATGATTCCCAGTTTCCTAACCCAATTCATATTCAATACACATCTCATAATATCAGCAAGCATTTCCATATTTTCCAATGAACATGCCAAACAGCTATTTGCCCTCCCTTTCGAAAAGCAAATGACAGAATAATCCTGTATTTTATTTAAAGTGTAAAATCTAATGATATGACCTTGTATTTGCATTTTCAAGGTTTTACCTCAGGCGTGTGCTTTGCTATCTCTCTAATTAAAGTTGCACCATTTTTCTTGACATATTCATCTGAGTCCTTCAGGCATGTGAGCACAACTGGGAAAATTTCTGCTTCAACCATCAACTCTGCAAGATCCACTGAATGCTTTGCTATTTGGCTTAGAGCTGACAGCACCTGACGCTAGTAAATAAAAATTGTTATAAAATCAATAGTATACAAACATCCCACAGCACACACTACCCCTGCACAAAAAAATCTATTGCATCAAGGAAAACAAAGCAAGATAGGGAAAACAATTACAGCTATTTTACAATTCACTGAGTCAATTCATGCACAAATATAATGGCACAGAACATTCACTGGTTCCTGAATAAAAGTTTTGCTTTTGTTTTATCCCATTCAAGCTTGTATGCATTAAAAAAAAAAATATATATATATACACCATTTAAAACCGTAATCTAAAATTTATCAAAATCTGTAGAAAGTATTTTTATTTACAGAAATTGGATCTGTCAGATTTATATTAAGAAATTTTTGTGGCATTTTATGTTGTCTTCTGTTTGGTAGAGTTAGATAGAAAATTTATAATAAGAAACAATATTTTTGTCAATTAAATGATAGTGATTTAACCTTTGACAACAGCTATTCACATCAGATAGTACATTCTAAAATACAATAAGTTCACTATTAACTGCCTTATCATATAATCTTTAGTATGCAAAACCTTCTTTGTAACTGAAATGTGCAAATTTTATCTATTAAAAGTATCTGTTGCATTCTTCATATACTATATATTTCTAAAAAAACCCCATAGTACTCACTTTAAGGATTAGTTTAGCTGTTCCTCACAGAGCTGCAGTTTATATCCAGCAGCTAAATTTGTAAATATGTTCAGAACTCTTTGTCACTAACTACATGGTTACATTTTGTAATACCCAAACCAAGAGCTTCTAAATAAATATGCACATCCGTGTCTTTGATTCAATCTCAAGTAATGATTGGTATAATGGAGATTAAAAAAAAAAATTAAATGTACCTTCAGTTTAGCATCAGGGTTCAGGATCATCTGAGCTAAGTGAGCGATAGCTCCTGCATCCACTACTGTCTGTGCTAACTCTGGAGAATGCTTTGAAATATCACTGAGAGTTGAGGCAGCAATCCTTTTCAAAGCAATTTCTGGCTCCTGGATACAGAGCACTAAAAGAGGAACAGCGCCTGCATCCACCACAGCTTGTGACAGTTCTGTAGGTCCAAGGAAAGTAATTAAGTGAGTATGGGTGACTGACCCTTGTGCAAGCCATTTTTCACCCTGACAGATACAGCAAAGGAAAAAGGGGAGGGTGTAGTTCACTGTCTCGACATCTGCATTTCAAATCAGCCCTCCTGGTTTCATAAACCGTGTGGACCAATCCACAACTGAAAAGAATGCAGGTCAATAGATGGACCCCCATTTACATGCACACATTTGAGGTAGATTAGGCTGAAATGGTTTGTTATTCTGTTTTCTTTTTCTTTTTTTAAAGTAAGCAGATGTCAGCTGTTTAAATCCTGGCTATTCTACACTGATCAATAGGAAAGCATTTTATGCATGGCTAACAACAACACAGAAAGCCAAAGTACCAAAATTTTATCAACCAGCTAATTAGAGAGCATTTTACCCTCTTTAAATGATAAGCAGATATTAGCATAGATCAAATGCCAAAAACAAAAATACAAAAAAAATTCAGAAAAGATTTATCTTACATATAAGATGGCAAAAATGGAACTTGCTGATCAAAACTAGTCTTTGCTACCATATATGGGATGAGACAGAATTTATACTTTAATGACAAGAAAATGTTATCACAAACAATTAGACAAATGAGAAATATCATCAGTGATATTGTGTGTCTGAGATTAGCACAATGTCCTTAACTAACTGCACCTTAAACAAAAAACAACAAAAAAAAAATCTGAGCGTGTGATTAGCTGACATGGACAAAAATTACACTATTAGAAATTCATTAGCTCTCTCTGTGTATGCAGCATTAATCACAGTCCTAAAATGAGAATTAGTGGAAATCAGAAGCAAAATTTATAATATAACCAAGCTGTGCTATTTTAAAATAGTGTTGAAAAAGTGGTAAAAACCATAGGGGATTCAATAATCTATTAGGTTCTTCATTCAGTTTTGCTACACCTTATTATGCATATCCATTATTATCTTTAACATTTATCTTGACTTACAGTACCATGGCAACATATGGCTGTTGTATTTCAAGACTAACTTAGCTTTTGATTTATAGTCCATCCATAAAGAGATTTTCATACTAAGAAAAATACAGCATACTTCATTAAATATACATAGACTAATATAGTTTTTCATGAAATCTGTAAGTCATGTCATCATTACATTGTTAATATCCAAATAATGTTCCAGACCAGATTGGTTTTCAATTAGTGAGTTATAGCCACACACTGCAATACATGTGATAAGTCAAATATTTACACTGTATGTTATTTTATGATACAATATTTTAAAGAAAATATAAATATTACATAAAAAAATAAATCATGCAGTAATTTTTAAACAATACCCTGAAATCAGCTTAGTTGGCTAGAGTATATAAATATAAATATTACATAAAAAAATAAATCATGCAGTAATTTTTAAACAATGCCCTGAAATTAGCTTATCTGGCGAGAGCATAGTGCTAATAACAGCAAAGTTGTGGGGTCAACCCCTGTACAGGCCATTTACTTAAGAGTTGGACTTGATGATCTTTGTGGGTCCCTTCCAATTCAGAACATTCTGTGAATCTGTAAAATTAACTCTACAAAGTTCATTTTTCAAATATACGTTTGATTGAAAATGCAGTGCATGCATCCTCAAAATACACAAATCATAAAATTTCAACAAAATTCAAATGCCGTATCTTCAGTTTTAAAAATCTGAAGTGAAATGTACCTGAAATGCATGCAAAAACAAATCTTAAAAGGAACTTATCAATATAAGTGGTATAAGCTACAGTCAGCATTTTGTGTAAAAGCCATGCTCAGTTTCTTCAGGTCGTGTTTTGCTGCTGACCACTGACCAAGTGAAGCACATGGTGATCTACTGAGCAACAGACCAGATTAACCTCTCCAACCGTGCTTCAGAACTTCACACCAACCAGCTCCACTGCCCACAGGCTGCTCAAATCAAGAATCTGATGCCAAGAGGGACACAGTGCTAGAAAAATGGGCTTCTTTGATGTCTTATGTGCTAAAATCATGAAGTTCCAGCAGAGAAAGAATGAGAAATACTTTCGGGTCACAGCTACACTCAGGCATGCAAAAGTAACTGTAAAAGTTATTTCAAAAGAGCAAACTAAATCTGATTCAATTTAAATCAGCTCTTGCTGTTAGAAGTCTGATATCATTTAAATACTGATGGTTACTGTTGGTCATGGGTAATTAAATGGTTTTTCTTCCAGTGGTGTTTATAAGGTTCATGGCTAATAACTTACCACATGGAGGGCTGGACCATGTGTCAAGACAGACAAGTCGTAAATGGACTGTCAGAAAAACAGAAAAGCTGAGGCAGGGAAGAAAGGAAATATAGTATTTCCCATCATGTTTCCCTGCAAATTCAGCCCAAAATTACAATTCTACGTATTAATGATTCTATTATAAATTGCAATTATTTTTTTCCCCTCAAGAAAAGGTTCAATCAATCTTCCTACTTGTAGAATATCTTTAATGTGGATTATATACCAAAGGATTCATGAAACTTTGCCATCCAATTAGAAACACGGACAGAGGTGGGGAAAAATTAAGACTGAAAAGGAGTTAGAGGTGAAAACAAACTTGGCAATTAGAAATCTTCAAAACTAAATATTCAGTCAGAAAAATTAAAATAACTGAAACAAATTACAAAAATACTCTTCCAAATACTACATCAAGGCTGCATTATAAGGGCAAAAACAGACCCATAACTGCAGAGGAGAAAGACAGCAGAGAAAAGCTAATGTATGGACCTCTTTTAATTCACAGAAGGTTATGGAACTCACATTGGGGTTCAACTTAAGGAACTTGCCCAAGTACATGATGATAAAGTTGAACTTCTCCCTATGTGAGTGGAAGTAAGGAAATTGAACTCCACATGTTCAAATGCAAAAGAACTATGGCTCAAAACTGACCATAAATTAATTGCTTTCACCCAGATCTACACAAGGAAGATTTTAGTAAGTGGAGATACTGCAAACAAGACCCAAATAGATTTAGAAGAAAGACTAATAAAGACAGATTTTGGAGTCTGAGATGTCATCAGTTCTAGTACAACTAGAAGTTGTACTAGAGTTGCACTGGTTGGTCTCAATACAAGAGTACTCATCAGGGATGAAGAAATTAATTCAAAGTAAGTTGAAGACTTGCCATGAGTTTACACGATCAGGAAGAGGGGAAAACCAACAAGGTGGAGTCAAGATCCTACCTACATACCCACTGAAAACAATGGGAAGTCTAACAGGCTTATTTTAAGCTAGTTTAAGGTGTTAAAAAAAAACCCCTACTAATATTAACACATTGGCAATAATAGTATGGATTTCAAAAAATAGATGAGGAAAAAAGATGAAAGTGAGAAAATAAATATCCAGGTTGTCCCCAGAGAAAGAAAATCAGTTCAATATTATATTGACAATATACAATATTATATCTCCATAGCAGAGCAGCAGAAAAACCCCTGGTTGGAAGGAAGTGCAAGTTTCAGTTGAGACCAGGGCTCTCAAACAGACCTTGCTGTGGTAGCAGGTGCATCCACAGGAAACAACAGGTTTTGACCCAAACAACCACCAATACTGTATTTTTCTGAGGACTCTGTGATCACGTTATGGCCACATAGAAAGACTCTAATTCCCACTAGTAACCCAAAGGCTGCACTTCAAAATCAGATTTATGCAGGCCACTACAATCACAGTGCTAAAGATTCCACTGGAACCAGTGGGAAAACCTTTCATAAGGAGGATGGAGGTTAGACTCAAAATCACTGAAGAGCTGAGGAACCTTTTTAGTATATTTACAATATACTGAAGCAGGTATGAGACAATAAATTGCACCTTTAATGCAGACAAAGAAAATGGAAATCCAAATTATTTGCATACTTCAAAGAAAACAATTTTGCATTTTAACTGAATATGGTATAAGCAAAATATTACAAAATATTTTTCACGGACCTAATGGTATTTATGGTATTTGAAACACTTTACACTTCTTTTTAAAGGCAAATAGTAGAAAAAATGAATGGCAAAATCACAGCACATTGATTTGTACACTTTGGAGTAAGATCAGTATCTGAAATTCAGCTCAAAGGAAAAGAAAAAGCAGAATTGCAAAAGCAGTTTTGGAATCTGACCTAGCAAGATTTCTAGCATCTTGAAACCTCATGAGACTTTTGTCTTTACCTAAAATCTCACAGGCCTTCTGGAGACATCTGTTCACAGAAGAATTGCATTTTAAGAGATTTTTGTATGAAGTCAGTATAGAACTTGCTAAGCAGAAAGTGTTTTCATTGGGGGGTGGGGAGGGAAGCCTCAATTTCTCAAAATGAAAATTTCTCAAATGGCTCTTTTCATGAGAACATACACTCACTTCAGTTCTTAGTATCTTTACTGGGTCATGATGCAATTTCTGATTAAAAGCAGAGACCCTCACCATTGCAAACAGCTATCACTGAATGCCAGGAGACTTTGACTGCACTCATGAAGACAGAGGTTCACATCCTGCCAAAAACAAATCAGGACTTTAATCCCAGAGATATGCCCTAATTATTAAACTTTTCTTGCTGTGGCAAACAAATCTCCCCACCCCCTAATCTTTTTAGGAGAGAGAAAAAGTCTCATCTTAATATTGTCCCAGTCCAGAACTGGAACAATTTTTGAAACTGAAAAACCTTTTGTGGCTGGGGGAAACCATTTCACACCCAGCTCTATTTTTAAACTTTAAGCTGCATTATGTGTCCACAGACAGTCAATGACAGAAAATCATAAGCACCAAATTTTGTCAACAGGAGCATGTCAGTCTAATCCAGAGTTTCTTAAACAGTAAATACCAGCTATTGATAAGAAAAAGTCTCTCTATCCCATTTCTCTATTTCTGTATCCCATCTCCAACAATATCATGTTGCAAAGGCATGCTTGTAGCAGCGTAAGAAACACATGATGCACAGAGTGACCTTTTTTCAGTACAACTCCTCTACTTTCAACAATCATTTTAGAGACATCCTGTGACTGTGTTATAGAGGCAGGTAAATCCCTAAATTGGCTGTACCTGGGCAATATTTTCAGGAATCTTTTGGCAGGCTTTTACTGGCATTCGGGTTTTTTTTAACTGATTACATCTAGTGATCTGTCTATGTCCTGATGCTTGCAGCCTGGTAACACTCACAATTTCAACCTAATTTCTGAGGATGCTATTCTTATTGTCATTGTAAATTGACATAAGGTATGCAGCCATTCAACATCGGCAAATAAATTATTCATAACCACGGAATAAAAATTCGTACAAGAAATTTGTTGTCTTCAATACCCCCACATCACCTCCATCTTTGCAGACAATGCTGTCACAGAGTGAACTGGATCACCCTAAAGCTCAGTCAGCATTCATGCAGTGAATAGCATGAAGGGCAATTGAAGTGAGTCAATATTGATTTAGTGACATAACAAAACTGCAGAAATATTTATGTTAAGAATAACACAGACACACACATACACTGCACACATTTATACAAATGAATGTCTTTGATACTTAAATAAATATCTTTCCAATGGAAGGAACATTTTCCACCAAGGGTGGAATTCAATCTTGATGACCAAACGATAAAACATCATTACCAGAGAGGTGTCCCAAGAATTATTTTGTTCCCCAGAAAATGCAGTCTGTTAGAAAGGTGCCAACAACTTTGGAGACTGTCCCAGTAAGTTAACCCTCTAAGTGGGAAAGGGGAATCTCCCATGCCTTCTGCAGTCCAACATTCTATATTGATTAAAAAAAAAAATCACTTTCAAAATCAGTCTATGTACTTTTTAGAGCCAAAACCAAATATAAAACCACGAGTTAATGCTATGATCCTAAAATTAGCTTAGCTTTGAACAATACAAACACTAACCATTTCTCCCACCCCTTCCAGCTAGCAGTTTCTTTCCTCAGTTCTTTCATTCACAGTCTAAACTTTTACTTGAACTATATAAATAGCTGGTCAAAGAACTATCAGCCACGTGGATCAGCTTTTAAATAGGAACATGACACCATCAGTGAGTTATACAACTGCCTGTGAGACAGCAGTGAACTGCTCAATATTGGATTCCTAGGATCTATTCCTGACTCTCAGAGAGTAGTGTGGTCCACTGGCTAATGATAACATGGTGCAATAAATTTGGCCTATTTATCGTGCAAACACTACTGTAAGCTGAATGAAACTTGCTCCCTAGGCTTCTCCATTCAATTTTGTATACAAAAGAACTAATGTCAAGCAAAAGAAACCTGGCTCTGCAATGACACCTACACAATATATAAAGATTCAGAAATCTCTTCATGAAGAGGAATAAAGCAGAGTGTCCTTTTCTGGCCACAGACCCAACACATCTCCTCTTAAAGCACCTCTCATAACTGGGCACTGCTGGTGTCAGGTATGCCAGTTTCCCACAAAAAGGTACAGCATTGTTGGAATGGTACAGTCACACTAGGATTTTATCCCAAATTTAAAATTTTTAACAGTAAAGAAGAAAAAACATCTTGTTCTGTTCATCAAAATAACACAATTTATTATTATTATTATCATCACATGACATTAGGCTAAAAGATAACACACATGAAACTTGTTACCTGCATTGTGTCGGGCAACATACCCAAGTGCCCAAGATGCACCTTCTTTGACTCCAGGGTCAAAATCCTCCAAGCAAATCACCAGCATTTCCAATGCTCCACATTGAACCACTGCCTGAGCTAGTTGCGGAGAATGTTTAGCAATTCCTCTTAGTGCAAATGCAGCTGCTTTCTTGTAGTAACGCTAGACAAATCAGAAACAAACAAACTTTCACTAACATTAAGATGTTCAAAGCATAATATAGTACAGACATGCCTAAATTAGACTATTTTAGTAGCAGCCATATCTCATACAGATCCAAATCAGGACCATTAGGCATCACACAAACAATGAACCTACAGTTCTTTGGGGCAGCTCATGGCATAAAATCTGCAGCAAGTGCATAAACAAACAGAAAAAACAAGAGAGATAGAAGGATATGGAAAAAAACTAGGTAAGTCTGTTTGTTTAAGTGAGTAGTGAACAACAAGAGCTGAAAAAACAATAACTCTTAACATATTTAAACAGGTTACATAGGTTATGCAGAGCAAGCTCCTAAAATAATTCTACGCATCTGTAACACTTGCAAGGTTTTACACTTTCTAAAATTGATACCCTCACAACATCTCAATGAGAAAACACTACTTATATTTGTAAATAGGAAACTGAAACAGAGAGAATTAGATCCAATAAAAGAGTTTAGGATCTGAATCCTGCAGTGCCTAAATACTGCCTAAAACCCACAGCTAGGATACTGAAAACCCATCTCACCAACACCCAATACTGAATAACCCTCCATTTTCATCCATCAGCCTGCAATTTTACTCCTGCCTGTGTCCAGAAAAAGCTCAATTTGAACAGGACTAAGCACCTGGCCCTTTTGTCATATGAGCACGTGAAGTCTAAGTTCTTTTCTCAATTCTGCCCATCTCCCTCAGTGCTGGACCAAATAATGCTTTCAGTATGTATGTAATAAATGACACTGCCCACAGCATGGGGTTCCCATGTAAACTGCAGTGGTGATTTCTTCTAAAAGCACAGTTAAGTCTTCCCTCAAAGATTCACATTTCAATCTCCTCCTGCAGTTTTATAACCACCATTAGGATATGGATGCTGAAGATTACATTTCTTCTACTGCCTTACATTTTCAAAATCCAGAGCCCAGTTAAAATACTCTGGCCATAGAAAACCATGTTGTGAGAAAGACAGTTCCTCGTGAAGGACAAGATTCATGGGGACACAAGTAACCTGCAGCTATGGCTATGTGCCTGGAGTATGCCCTCCAGCCTGGGCATTGACAGATGATCCCTATGGACAAGCTCTAGAGGGCTCTCTCTCCTTATGCCAGCTGGCTTTGATCTCATCCCAAGATGCTTGATTCTCCCCTGCTCTGCACAGGGAGCCTGGGCACTTTACAGTGTTAGTCCTACTGTCAGGGTACCCAAAATTTAAACAATGCAAAGCCCACATCCCTTCTGGATCAAGTCCAGAAAAACAAAGAGCCATGTGATTGCTTTTGTGCATCCTGTAAGGTACCCAAACACCTTCAAAAGCCTGACCTAAAGCACTAAGATATGGCAAAAGAACAGTATTTGCAATGGCCCCCAGGAAATAAAATATACCCAGGCCTACTCCCTGGCTCTAAAGGAAGGTGACACAGCGTAACACATCCATCCACCTAAACTCCTCTTTCCTCAAAGTACAATGGCCTCATCTATGCTACTGAAAACTGTTCCTGCCTTGTGCTATCTCTTAAACCATGGCCAAGGATTGTTGAGTAGTTCGATGACTGGCTTTGGCTAAAACCACATCAGAGAGCATGCTACTGATTAATAAGCACAGTCATCTTTCAGTGCTCCAACACGTGCCCTTACCTTCCTTAGTTTACCAGTACTGATATTATGTCAAAAATCCAGTTTTCTAAGTTAAGGTCTACAAGCAGGTAAACCTTACATTAAACATAATTTACAAGCAAAGCATTAAACCTTATTTAGGGGGAACAGAAGTTAAGGGAAACAGTAGATATTAATGGTCAAATCCCTAGATAATGTAAGTTTTGCTGAACTTGATGGAGCCATATTTGTTTACATAAGTTTATGTCTGTACAAATATGGGTATATTGTTTCTATTAAGTAATTATGTTCCTGGCAAAGAAAAACACTCCTTTGTTTTCATTATTCAAAACGCATTCTTCACAAACAAACCGCACTCACGGGTATAGTCAGAATATGCTGTAAAACTGAATTTTTCTCTGTTTAATTGATAAAACATTGATCTGGGATCTTGCCCTGTGACTGTTCCCCATAGATCAGTAGGAAAAGTATTCATTGTGTGCTCAAAGAATCTCATCCTTAAATACAGATGTTGATACACTAAAAGTGAGTGGAATGGAAAACGTTATTTTGCCTGTGTGAAGTGACAAACTGTCTGCTTGCTAAACTCTCCATGAACTGGATGAATTTCCTTCACTTGCCCTCAGTCACCAAGGCGTAGCAGGCTTTCCATGACCTCACACAAGTCTTGCTGTTGCTTCCCCTAATTACTCTATCTCAAGGTACTCGAGTTAATTTAATGAGGGTTTCAAGTTGTAGCAGGAGGTAGTTTCTAAACCAACAGTGGATGGAGTTTTGTTCTGCATCTTACCTTAAAAATAGAAATAAAATAACCAAAATGCTTATAACCTTGTCTAATTAAAAACTTCATTTTCTTTTTATACTATATCAGTATCTTGCCATCAAAGTTTTTCTTTAGTGTTTTCTTTTTCAATTTTAATTGTACAGGCAATGATTCTATATGCGCAAAAAGTATGCAATGAGTACATTTATATCTGTTTTTCCTCGAAAATTAAAATATATGCTCTCCCAAAATATATTTCCATTGAAAACCTACTTCTCCTCAATCAAAGCTGCAACATAAGTATAGTTGTGGTATCAGTGCACTTAACCCTTTGACTGTCAGTTTCCAGATGTTAGGAACCTTACTTCAAAGCATTTCTGTTAATCTAGGTTAGCATCATGACACAGAACTTGAAGTAAAATGCTAGGAAGGGAGTGAAAGAGACCAACAGATTTATTTGCATCGCAATTGTAACTATACTTTGTTTGGTTTTGACAAATATGAAGATGAAAACTTTTCCATATATTTTCCTGTGTCAGGTTTTCTCATGCTACAGATTTCCAAAGGCCTTCGTTTGGAGATACAAAGTATTTCATTACAGAAGTTCTGGAGTTTTATATCTATTTTACACGTGCCTGGTATTAGGAACAAAACCCAGTCAATTATCACCACAGCTTCCAAACTGTCTCCTTTTTGAAGAGGAACCTTTTACAATGCATCGCTCAACATTTTAAAAACGTTACAGTGCAATGAATGTATTTCCTATAGTGCATTAAACAGTAACACAATATTTTAAAGTCAAGCTTATTTGAAGTCAGACTTAGGCATACAGTACACAGTGATCTCTCAGGGGTTCAAACTTACATGCTGCTCTGACTTTGATACTTTTAATGTCCTATTAGAATAACAGCAGATGCTGATACAGAAAGATTTCCCTTTCCCTGTATAATAGTTAAAAAATATATTACTTAAGAGAACAGTCATGCCTTACATTTTCCTCAGGCAATGAACATATGAGTTGTGGAAGAATGCCTGCCTTCACGATTGCCTCTGCCAGCTCCACGTCATAATCAGCAAGTCTCCCAAGAGCCAAGGCAGCAGTCTGTCGAATGCTTGGGACAACATCCAGCAAAAGAGGTCTCAACAGACACACTATACCTGAGTTGCAGCAGGAAGACAAAAGTCAATTTGGTAAGCAAAAGGTTTTCTAAACATTTGCCTTTACTCATAAAAATCTATTAAATTACTCTTCTAGGTAATAAGAACGTGTTGGAAATCCAGGTGTTCTGCTGAAATGAAGTTGGCACTTGGATAGCACTGCTGATGTATAGCAATGTTTCTGCTCACTTTCCATAGGTACAAAACAATTCTGAAATATAAAAAGAGTCACATGTAGAAATAAAGTGTATTCAAATATCTATAAAATAAATCTTAAAGTTTACACAAGAAACTAAGTTATATTCAAACATACATAAAATGCATGTGGTACAGTGTGCACGGGAAACTCCATCTGGAGATCCTGGTGAGAAGACATTGGCACGTCCCTCATTCATCATGCCAGCAGAACCTCTACATTGAATTACACCAAATAACATTTCATCTGTTATAAGCACTGACTGATTTGAAGAGCAATATCCATAATACATTACACTCCAGATAGAAGAGTTGTAGATTTTCTTATCATGTTATTATTTATGATGTGCATTCACTGATGAGTTCACAATGTATCACCTAAGCATAAAAAATGCGAAAGTAGCAGCAAGGGAAACTATAGGAAACTACAGATCAAATGACTGGATAACAAAATGGCAAGTGAAATGGAGCTCATGCAGGGAACCCAACTCAAACCTCACATATGCAGTGATGGACCCCAGACAGATTACTACCAACCAGAAGAAAAATCTTGATGACAGAACAGACAGTTCCATAGAGAACCCAGCTCTTAGTAATAGAGAAGACTCTTTACCTTCAGAAGTATACAGAGTGCTCAAGAATATTTGGAAAGGGGTAGAGGCTAAAGCAGGAATCATCACTATCCCACATTTAATATCCTCCACTAGAGTAGAACTGAAAAAGGTCCAGTGAAAGGGAATACGGATGATCAAAGATGACCAATCTGCATGTGGAAACTCTTCCAGTTAAACTAAGACTCTTCAGCAGGGATAAAAAACGAGATCCAAATAGTTATATAAAGAATGTGATTTGTAAGGTCTGGGAAGGGAAAATTACTTGTGATCCTTCAAATGTGCTGTCCCTGCAGCAGCCAGCTGCATGAATCAACATTTTGATGCTTTACACCTTAGGAAGCAGAGGTCTGTGAAAATGAAGATGTGTTACAACAGAACAACAAGCACTCAAGAGTTACAGGTATCTTCATATCAGCTCTCTCAGTCCTTTCCGCTACATTTTTTTTTACAAATATAAAGATCTACTTGAGCAACAGTGAAAGAAAGCAAGGACTTCCCTTCTCAGGGACTCATATGGTTACTAGCACTGAACAAAGGCCTGTTTGGTGTGACAGTGCCACAACAGGGGGATCACTGCCTAATGGCAAGTAATAAACACCCAGGTGTTCAACAGGTACTCCATGACAAGGAAAAGCTGAGGACCTCAGAGCAAGGAATAGTCCAAAGGGATAGAGGTGAAACAAGTTACACCTGGAGCATACTTCTTTCCCTAAAAAGAAAAAATAGTAAGTAGAGCAGCAGTAAAATTCTCACCTTTATTTTACATCAAAACCAAATTGCTCCTAGCAAGAAGAAAATAGCCAGATCATCTATATATGGCTCTGAAGGGGCTGGGAAGGAGGAAACAAAAAACTAACCATGGAGGCCATGCTATCCACTAACTAATTTGAAGGAAGGTTAATATTCTAGACAAAAGCTGCACTGTCATGAAAGGTACAGCCTCCCAGCATGTTCACAAGACAAAATAACACAGGTTTCAGGGGGACACATAACAAAAGCAGAAAAGTAAACTGAACCTATGGAAACAGGTCTATAATATTGCTGGGGCCTGCTCACCCTTCTGTTAAAGCCACTGGGAGCTGAAAGAGGCCTCCTGTCTACCAAACGACAAAAGATAGATCCTCCAGTATTGTAAGATCAATGTGAATTCATTCAGCAGTTTGCAGAAATCACTACTTCAGAATGTGGCCATTGTATTGACATCTTCTCATGAAATCTCCATAGCAGGTATAGTGTCCTTAGCAAGTTATCCTTCATATCAAAAACCACTAAATACTTTATATGACAAATGAAAATTAAAAACAAATATATGAGTTGGGGTCAATGCCATGTATCATCTTTTATCTTCTAGCAACTCATCTAGCTACACCGTCTGTGGGAGGGCATTTTCTTGTCCTTCCCTTTAACATCAGTTGCATGATCAAACAGCTGCTGAAATTCCTAAGGGGACCTCACACTGTTCTTACAAAGTACATTGAAGGTATTTCAGCGAGGCAGGAACAGTTAGGAAAAGTTCACTCGTATTTACTGTACAGATATTACATTTGAGCCTTTGACTTGAGATAATTTGAAAACAAGATTATTTAATAAATGGGGGGGGGAGGGAAAAACAATTTTACTGATATAAAAGAGCCTACTGGGGGAGAGGGAAAGGAATACTTCAGCATTCAGTGTCCTGACCCTAAAAATGCCAAGAACCTGATGGCTGAGACATTAAACCACGATAAGTCAAACAGTTCAATTCTGATGATCTCAAATCTAGTGAAATTAAACAGACTAGAATCACTTTGCTGGGGAGCTAGGTCCAGACCATATGACACATTTCTGACCTTTATGACATACCTAGGCACAGCAAAATGTAAAACCACATTTAACAAGGTTTACATACATATATGCTTTGAGTTGTTCCAAATGCAAGATTTATATATTTTGTATTTTCAAGATTAGCTGATACAGCTTTCACTTTTGGAACAACCTAAAAAAACTTCAATCTGAAAATGCTTCCAAGCAGCATGCCTCCCCATGACCAATGCCCTTCATTTCATGACAGTATAAACCACGTAAAGTTTGGTGATGACATTTAAGCATTAGCACAGAATGTTCTACTGCAAAGTACTTTAGGTGGTACAACTTATAGTGAGGAAAGAGATGAAAAATGAAATGGGAGTTACTATTTGAAGAAAGGACACAAAATGTTATAGCAAAGTTAGGAAAAAAAAAACAGGTTTAGAAATAATAGCAACTGTGCTGGTCCTTTCTTAAAGTCATGTTTGAATGTAAGAAGAAACAGTGGGCAAATAATTATAATGGAACAAGTTTTGGAGGAACGAGACAAAGAAAAAACAATTCCTGGTGCTGTAAAATCAAATTAACATCAAATTAACAGATTTGAGATAAGTATATTTAAGCCTACACCATGCCTGTGCATTGAACATATTTAAAAGCTTTTACCTCTACTTTCTACCTTCTCTTAAAACCACTTTCTTTCTCTGTTCCAAGATGCTTTCCATCACCTCCAATTACTCTGCAAGACCAACTGCTTGATGAGCTTTCACCATTATCATCATTTTTGTATCCTCAGCAAACCTAATATTTCTTTCTTTACAGCACTTAAAAAAAGAAAGAATTCTGAGAGTGTGAAAACAGCTACATAGAGATGCTACAGTCTCCTCTAAAACACCTATAGGAAAGCCAAGATATCCAACCTTTTCTTCTATGACTTTTGAACATAGTGGTGTAAAGGACAGCTGTGCCTGACACAGGATGAGGCTTTCCTGCACTGGGCCCAACCCAGCTCTTTGTTCCAGAGACAGCTGTATTTGGTGACCTCCTCTATTTGATCTCCTCCTTTCATCTATCCTGTTTACAGCAAAGTCTACTCCTCCAAAGAGGTCCAAGCCAGGATTCCTATCAGCATTTTTAATTAAATTCCAATGTATTTAACATTACTTAGAGCAGGAAAACAGGCAAGAAACTTCCTACTACTTCCTTTTATCTTGACCATTCACTCAAGTGAACAGGGCCATACAGATCATGGAGTAGCAGTGTCTTGTTGCTGAAAACTTTAGAACTCTTTGGTCTTCTTCTAAATAAGTCTGTTGTGACAGCAGTAGGAAATTCATTAACTCTAATTCAAAAGCAACCACACAGAAAGTGAACTACAAAATAAGGCATTTAGACTATTGGACTAGATTTATTTTGGAAGAGTTCCCACTAGCACTCAGAAACTGAGTAACAGAGAATTACTGCCAAATATTCTCTCTTGCATCACAGAAACTTGACTGACATTGGGCAAGGAACGATTCCCCTTTCTATCCTCCGTTTCCCACTCAAATTTGTTTCAAAGAACGACACACTTAAGAAGCTGAATCACTCTCAACACACACTTCTCAAGTGGAGCTGTTACATACAGGCCTGATGCATTTTCTCTTAGCAAGCAAATGCTGGCTGCTGCCTATCTGGAAAACAAACAAATGAAAAAAAAAACTCACTCGGGGCAGCAGTAGGTTCCAAATTTTTTTCATTCTAAGTTTCTGTAGGAAACAAACAGTCACTATTCTGGAGACAGCAATCTTTGGCTGGCCATTTCGATTTTTTGGGGAAAACAACCTGGAATTCATGCAAAATACTTCTACCCTCCTCCCATCCCCATCAAATCCTTGTCAAACTTGACTAGTCACAAAACAGAGAAACATCATTACACTGGAAATTCTTTTCATTTCTGCATCTGAAGATGACTATTCCTACCTTATCTTTCTTCCTTAAAGGAAAAATAATTTCTGTTTTAAAATGTGGAAAAAAAATCATTCTACACTACTGCTGTCTCTAGATACACTCTTGTATTGAAGAGCTAACATTAGCACTCCAACATGCATCATATCAGCTTGATTTTTCAGAGCTCCTCATGTCAAATTCAGCTGACTTAACAAGGAAATAAAATGGAAATTTATTTCTGCCTCACCCCAACACCCTATCTTCAACTACCCTTTTCTAGGAGCTGCATAACAGTAGGTTTTAAATCTCTACTTAAAACAAATTTTCCAGAAGAGCAGTGAGAGAGAATTTTCACACTCACTTGTCTTGACACAGCCTCTTCCAGAGACAACAGAGTATGCCAGTCTCAAGTACATACTCCTCAAGTGTGACTCACCACGAGAAAGGACTCCTCGGTGCCACAGTTCCATGCACAGC